TAAAAGTGGTTAAACAATACACAGTCAGTGATACACATAAACATTTTAGTATAAATCTTGTTGTTAAGTTTAATACATGTCAATAAAATTTTTGATATTAAGTATGGGGTGTTTTAATTTTTTTTTCAAGGTGGCAGAATTATTTAATGTTGTAAGTTCTATATTTTCGGATATTATTTTGTTATATAGGTACGGACCCCGGTAGGAAATAGAGAATCGTGAGAACTTTGTTGTTTTTTTTGGTAATGTGAAGTTCCCTGTTGCTCTTGTGGTATATCTATTAGAGTTAATTTGAAAAAAGTTATCTAAAAAATGCGATGGGACTAGTCCAAGATTGTATTTAAGCATGAAAAGAATATTTTGATAGATGTTGATTTGGTAAACATTCAGTGCATTTAGGGTTTTTAGTAAAGGTTCAGCATGGGTGAGTTTATATTTATTATAAACTAATCTTGATGCATGTTTTTGACTTAAATAAAGAGTATTTAACTTGGATTTGTGTGTACTTGCCCATGCAATATTAGCGTACGTAAGATAACTTTGGATGTAAGAAAAATAAAGAGATTTAAGATTATCTTGGGACAACATAGGTTTAACTTTGTAAAGTATCCCAATATTTTTTGAAATTTTGGTGTTTATTGTACTAATATGGGCTCTCCAAGTTATATTTTCGTCAATAAGTATCCTAAGAAATTTTGTTGTTTCTGTTCTTTTAATGTTTACCTTATCTATTTTTAGTGGGGGAAGTATAGTTGGTATATTATTTTTTTTTTTTTTGGAATGAAACAATATATATTTTGTTTTTTCTGTATTTAGTGATAACTTATTTAATTTCAATCAGATGTTTAATTTTTCAAGCTCTTTGTTCATACATTCATAAAGGTTTTTGATTGAGTTCGAGGAATAAAATAAATTTGTGTCGTCGGCAAACATTATAACATCAAGTTTTTTCGAGGTTTTTGTAAGGTCGTTAATATATAGAAGAAACAGAAGGGGTCCAAGAATGGAACCTTGGGGGACACCGCACTCTATTCTTAGTAGTTTTGAGCGTTTATAATTGTCTGAAATAACACATTGTTGCCTATTGCTTAGGTAGTTTTTGAACCAGTCAAGAGTGATGTTTTTTACTCCATAGCTTTCCATTTTTTTAAGTAAGATATTATGATTTACTGTGTCAAAGGCTTTTGACAGGTCTATAAAGATCCCCAGAACATATTGTTTTTTATCAAAAGAATCACTTATACTATTAATTAGATCTAGGATTGCGTGTTCAGTCGAATATTGTTTTTGGAAGCCAAATTGTTTTTTATTTAGGATTTTATTTTGGATTAAATACTCGTACAATCTGTTGTAGATTACTCGTTCGAGAAGCTTAGAGAAGGTAGGGAGTACCGAGATAGGTCTATAGTTATTAATTAAGTATGATTCACCTGTTTTAAATATTGGTACTACTTTAGCTACTTTTAACTTGTCTGGTACAACTCCTGTTTTAATCGAAGACTTGAAGATTTCAAATATAGGTTTATTTATCACTGTAAAGACATTTGCCACTATCCTACTACAGATATCGTCTATTCCTGGAGTTTTATTTAATTTTAAGGAGTTTAGTGCAACGTTAAGCTCTTGATAGCTTAGTTCTTTGTATTTTAGTTCGCTCTGGGGATCATTTAGATATGATTCAAACGAGTTATTAGGATATTCAATTTTTGAGGCAAGATTAGGGCCAATGTTAACAAAAAATTCATTGAATTTTTCAGCAATTTTATTTTTGTCACTGTACTCTATATTGTCTATGATAATTCGAGCAGGCAAATTATTTGATTTAGTTTTTTTGTTCCCAATTATTTCTTTTATAATGTTCCATGTTTTTTTAATGTCACCAGTTGCATTTTTTATTTGCTTCGAGTAGTAGTTTTTTTTTGAATTTTTTTTAATTTTTTCAAATAAATTTTTGTATTGCTTGTAGGTATTTAGGTTTTTTTCATTTCTATTTTTTAAATATTTGATGTAAAGTTTTTGCTTTTTTTTTGAAGATTTTTTTATACCTCTAGTAATCCATGGACATTGTAAGTATTTTACTTTTAATTGTTGTTCTATAATTGGGAAGTGATTATTATAATGCTTTAAGAATATTTCTAAAAACTCATTATAAGCAGAGTTGGTGTGCCCAAGGTTGCATTTTTGGTAAATCTTATCCCATCTCACTGTCGATAGAGAGTTTTTAAACTGTTGAATAGTAAATTTATTAATTTTTCGTTTATAGACTTTGGTTTTTGAGTTGTTTGTTTTTGTATCTTGAAACAAAGAAAAGTATATCGGAAAGTGATCGGATATATCCGTTTTGATTACACCTGCTTTTAATGAAGAATCATAAAATGAATTAGTCAATATGTTATCTATTGCAGTGATTGAAGTTGATGTTACCCGGGTGGGTTTGTTTATTATAGGGAAGATGTAGTGTTGAAACATATCATCAAAAAAAATTTTGGTAACAGCATCTTCATTGTACTGTAAACAGTTTATGTTAATGTCTCCAATACAGAATAATATTTTGTGCTCTTTATTGTTTTTTAGAAATATTTGTTTTAGATGATTAGAAAATTTTTTTATATCACCTTCAGGTGGTCTGTAACAGGTGGGCACCAGTATATTTTTTAACTTTTGGTTTATTATTTCAATTGTAAAGACCTCACCATCGGCATCAGAAACAGAAAGATCGTCTCTAACTTTAGTTGTCAGATCATTATGAATATATGTCATAATTCCACCACCTCGTTTTTGAGCTTTTCGCTCGTAAGATATTAGTTTGAAGTTCGGAATTAATAAGTTTGAATTTATTCTGGATGATTCGTCAGAACACCAGGTTTCTGTTAAGCAAATCATACTGAACAAAAAATTACATTCTACAAGAAAATGTTTTAGCTTGTCAATATTGTTAATTATACTTCTTATGTTTATGTGTATAACCGTAAAGTTATTATTTAATGATTTTAATTCATTTTTAAAAGTTTTTAAATCAAAAAACCGCGAGTTAAAATTATTTTCATTAAAAAAATGCAAATCTGGGTCGTAAAAGTTATCAAGTAAAGCGTTATTGAATTTGAAAACATTAAAGTGTTGCGTTTCGAAATCTTTTGTTTGTTTAGCCATAAGTAAAAAGAATTAACTTTGCTTCGATCGCTTTAACTTACGCAAAACTTATTTTCTTATTTTCTAAATTCGCGACAATAAATTTTATTAAATTTAATCGTTGCGTATTTACCTTGATTGCGAAGATTTTTAACTTCTTCCCAAAGTCTCTTTCGCTCTTCCATTGTCTCTTTAGCAAAATCTTCATTTATATATATTCCACTTCCTTTTAGATTTTTAAGTGAACTTAAGATTTTACTTTTATCTTGGTAGTTCAATAGTTTCACGACGATAGTTCTTGGTGTTTTGTCTTCTTTATACGACCCAATTCGATGTGCTCGTTCCACAATAACTTCGCTTGAAATTTTAAGATTATTTGTAAAAATATTTTTCACAGATTTCTCACAGTCATTTGATTCTCACAGTCATTTGAAAGATATATATTGTCAGATTTTCTTAATCAGTAATTTTCTGGTTTTAACAATTTTTGAAAAACAAATTTTTGAAAGTTTTAACAATTTTTGAAAAACATTTTAAAACAATAAGATAATAATGACAATAACAGGGTGGTCACATTTTTTTTGTCTGACAAAACGAGGATAATTTAGGAGATTTTTAAGGAGATTTGCCGGGATATATGAAAAAAAAAAGTATATAAATTTTAGATTTTAACTTTTAAAATTTAGCTTTATATTTAACTGACATTTTCTATTCTGAACATTCAAAATTATTTTAAGTCAACTTAATAAAAATAAAATTTTAATAAAAATAATTTTTATGCTCAAAACTTAGACAGAAATAAGAAAAAAAAGCTTAAGTTTTATCAAAATAAATTTTTAAGTTATTAAAGTAACACAAAAATATTGAAAAACACTTGAGCAACTTAATTTCTCTCAGTATACAACAGTACTAAGGGGTTGCCTATAAAGTACGTACGCTTTTTTTCGTCAACTCTTCCCCCCCTCCCCGCAATTTCCCCTACGCTTTTTTGAGAACTCTCTACCTCCCTAAAAGTACCTACGCTTTTTACTAACCCAACATTTTATGATATTTTTTTAAATTTAGTGTCACCATACTTTTATAATTGACTTAATGCCCCCTTATCTTAGAAACGCCATTTGCAGACCTCCTCTTCCTTTCCGATTATGGACAATCCCTAACTCCAAGTCTGAACCATTTCATTAATTTTATTGTTGTTTGGCTTATAATAGTTTATGCATTATACTCAAGACAAATAAATTAGGAGAATTTAGGAGTATTTGAGAAAGTCATCTATACATTAGGAGAAACTAGGTCTTTTTAGGATTTTTTTCAAATACTAAGATATTTTGGGATTTTTTAGGTGGAGTGGCCACCCTGAATAAGTTACTTGCTTTTATAAATACAATAGTTATATATAAAAAGTTAGAGTTACAAACAGTAAAAACCTGATAAACAATTATATTATATATTTATATAATTATAAATACAAACTGTATTGAATAAAAACGTGAGATAAAAACAAAAATAATATTATTAACAACAATAATTAAAATAATAATACAAAACAATTTTTTAATAATATATAAAAAATAAAAATAATAACAATTATAGTTATAATAATATATAATCGTAAATAATTATTAATTAAAACAGTTATATAATAACAATAAATATATAAGTAAATAAAATATATATATATATATATATATATATATATATATATATATATATATATATATATATCAGCGTTGAAAATAACAAGTAAAAATAAGGACAAAAATTAGTATACTTTAAAATATACATACAAAACACCCACAAATATATACACAAATGCATATAGACACACACATACATACACACATATATGTACAAAAAAAAATTTAATGCGCCACTTACAACAAAAAACAAACAAGACAAAAACACTTTTATTAAACAAACTTATAAATAAAATAAAAATAAGTAATAAGCCAGATGGTATACAAAAATACAACAATACATAAAGAAATAGGTTTTTCTTCAAATACATTCTTTTTCTTTTTAAATTGGTTCTAATATTGTTCCTTACTTCCCTTCCTCCTTTGATGTCGTTGTTGTCTTTTTTTTTGGTTTTCAAATGTTTCAAAATATTTTTGCTTATTTATTTTCTTATTATTCATTTTTCTTTTCTTTACATTCTATACATCTTTTAATTTTTCCATCCTCATTTTCAGAAAATTTCCTCCTAAAATTGTGAATCACAGCAAATAGTTTATTGATAAGGCATTGCTTTGTACCTAAATAAAATACCATCACTTGTATTTACTTAATTAAATAAACTATCATTTTATAAAATACATTGCATTAATTCAAGCAATTATAAAGAAAGAGTGTAAAAATTAAAATATATAAAACAAACAATTCTATTTTTCAAAGCAAATATTCTTAACAATTTTTAGACATAAAAAAGTAAAATAAACTTTTATTATAAAAATCAGTAAAAAACTATGCATGTAAAATGGCAAAATAAAACAATATGTTATTACATTCTGTGGCCAATTATTTCTAGCTGATAGTTTATTATGAATGTTATTTCAAAAAGGTATGGTAAGTAGATAACACAAGTAGGCAAGTAGATAACACATTTTTTGTGGCGATAAAGTAAAATTAACACATATGTGCTTGACAAGTGGAACTGGCTTCTTGGTTTCACATTGTGGTACAATGACTAATAAAAAAAAGAGTTATTACAAAAAATATTTGCACATTTCTGTATAATACAATCTTTATTATTAAATTCACAAACAATGTAAGGAAACAGTTCTTTGTATCATTTGTATTGACACAAAGAAGTAAAAGCAGCTTTATGTTTTGATTAATGGCACACTTACAAAATAACACACTTATACTAAATGTGTTATAGAAACACAAGTTAAAACATGTAAACAGAAATAAACCGTATCATATAGTTAGACCTACAAAAATTTCAACCCATTAAATTGTTCTACAAAAGGAACATCTAACAAAAAGTACTGATAATGTACTGAGGCCTAAACTTTTTTATTTTCAACGAGTTAATGACGTTTTAGTTTTTGACCAATTTATTTTGCAAGATTTTTGTTTTTATTTGCTTTGAGATTATCTAATTAGTGTTTTTAACATTGTTTTTTTAAATTACGAAAACTTTTTTTAAAGTACAAAAAATTTTTTTTTTAAGTTAGCAATTAATAGGTTTACCAACCTTCTGATTCTGAAGACAGCGTTTCAACCACTGCACCAAGACTGATCAAATTTGGCTTGTATTCAAATAAACAACAAAGTATACAAAATACATACTAGATAAAAATAGTTATAAAATTGAAAATAAGCTAGGTTAAATATTACTTAGGTCAAAAATCAGAAGGTCAAAATACAGTAGGTCAATGATTTAGTAGGTTGGAAAACTAGTAGTAAATGTTTTAGTTATTTGTAAATATAAAAATCAAAAATTGTCAGTTGAAAATCAAAAATATCAAAATCACAATTTACAAATATATATATATATATATATATATATATATATATATATATATATATATATATATATATATATATATATATATATATATATATATATATATATATATATATATATATATATATATATATATATATATATATATATATAAATTATGTTTTAATATCTACAAATAGAATGCTTAATGTTTTAAACAGGGCTTTTGAGCTGCTTTGGAGCTGAAGCTATCTGGAGCTGGTGTTTTCACAAGGAACTGAAGAAGCTGAAGTTCAAACATTTATAGGTGGAGCTGGCTCTAAGCTAGCTTTATCCAAGCTCTTCCTTTTCATAATTTGGAAGATCACAGTTTGAGTATTTTTTGTTAGGGATTCCTAAATAATCTAAAGTTATTTTTTATAAGAAAAAAATTTTTAAAAAAAGCATTTTACGCATTTTCTAAAAAAAGCATTTTACGTTTTGATATTGATATTATAGGTTTAGATTAATTGATTACTCACCTTGAGGCACGTAAAAATTTAATACTTTATTAAGTATACTTATTATACGTATACTTGTTTGATGCATTTATGTAATATAAAAACGGCAGTTAATAGTAGAAATAATACATAAAAATAATAAAATAAAAGGTCAGTAGCTTTCATAGGCTGATGTAACACAGGCTTCTTGTTGATTAAATTCTTGAAACAGAAACTTGCCTATTTTTGATTTGTTGTCAATGATTTTTGAAGAAAAATCTTTAAAAGCGCAAGAGAAAAACGGTAAAAACACAGACTAGTAAGTTGAAATGAATTTCGTCATAAATCGGTCAAACTATAATCGGTTGAAAACATTTCAGGCCTCAGTAGAACATATAAAAATTATTTCCACTTTTTAGTAGGTGTTTTATTTTGTAGATCAAGTTTATAGGACCTAAGAATAAGCCTTGTGGAACCCAACATGATATTTTAAGTTTGTTTGTCTGAAAGCCATCTTTTAGAGAAATAAACTGCTTTCAATCGGTTAAATAACTGGTAAACTATTTATGGTTTTTGTGGCTTATTCCATAATATTTTAGTTTTTCTAATAAAATCTGATGGTTAACGGTTTCAAATGCTTTTGACAAGTCAATGAATATACCTAAGGTGAATTTGTTATGAGCAGATACTCCACTGATAACTTCAACAAGTTTCATAAGTGCATGCTCCGTAGAGTAATTTGATCAAAAACCATATATGTTATAATAAAATATTTAAAGTGACACAAGTGGATAATGTTTCTCCATTACTGTGCAAGGGCTAGAGCTACTCCAAGGAGGGGATTCATTTTTTGTTTATGTTAATTCTTTTAGATGCCCCAAGAAGTCCGTACGGTCTTATCACAGTGCACTGTGGATGAGCATTTAATAGGAAGTTCAGGCCTCTTATAAAAATATTTATAAACGTGAGTTTTAATCATATTAATCTAAAAAGAACACAGTTGGCGTCACTTATTTTTTTACAAATAAAAAATACATTTTTACATATAAAAAACAGTTACATTTTTACAAATAAAAAATCTCGATACATCGAAAATTTTGATTTATTTCTCACCTAAGTTTAAAACTTACAACACCATATTAAATCCTATTGAAATTTTGATAAAACAGCTGTTAAAAAATGCGCATTTGACCTTATGCCACGTAATAATTAAACAATTTTATGCGTGTTTTGTAAAAATTAAAGATTTATGAACTGTCCGTTCAAAAGTTGAAAAAAATGAAGCGTCTGATCAAAAGTTTTCACGAACTGACTGAGAAAAAAAATAGTTTAAAAGAAAAAACAATTCACACCGCCTTATATTCCTTGACCAGGCATCGAACCTGGGACCTCTCAATTATAAGCCAGTGATTAAATTTAGTTCTGATTCAAATTAACAACAAATAAAATACATTACCGGAAAAAACGCAGTTATAAAGTCGATCGAAAAAACAGTAGGTCGAAAATAAAGTAGGTTGAAAATTCAGTAGGTTGAAAATTGAGTAGGTTGAAAATTTAGCAGATTGAAAACGCATTAGGAATAAAAATTAGTAGTTCATGTTTTAATTATTAGTAAGTTTAAAAAATCAAAAGTTGTAGTTTGAAAATCAAAATTGCCATATTCTATCATTTTAAAAGTTTCAAAATTAGGTCCAGTTATAGGCCACCGGCCTCACTGACCAATATTAGCATTTAAATTTCATATTTTTACTTAAGCGAAGATGCCGTTACGTTAGTATTTTAAACAAATCATTTTTTAGTCATGACTAAAAAATGACTGTTTGCTTTTTTTTTTCTACATATCCGTTGCTTAACAAGGACCTTGTAACAATATTTTTTTTTCTTTTACTCTACCGTCACAACAACCGTTTAAGAAAGAAACTCCTTCTATTTTAAATACAAGTTTACTAGTTTGTTAAATAAGTTTTGTCGTTCGATTAGAGATGGCGCTATAAGGTTCCTTGTTTTGTTTTTCTCAAATTGTTTCTGCTTTTTTTGAACATGTGTGAAGTTAAACGTAGATCTGTTAACTCATTTGTATATTTACAGGTGTTCAAAGTTTCAAAATTTTTTACAATGGAATATCGTCATAGTCACAAGAATAGATAGTCTGAAAGCGCACAATAGTTTATTATACACTGAGGCATATTCGTTTAGACGCATTAATTTTTTTCTCTTTATCTTAATTTTTTTCTATAAATTGCATATAGAAAAATATGCATGCAAGTTTTTATCAAAATAATTGTTGTGTCTTTGTTAACATGAGAGTGTGTTTGATATACAAAAACACATTTTTTAATTAGAATATATCTATAGACGCAATCAGGTTAATAACGGTAATTATTGATTTTTAATCACTTTTACACAATTAAATTGATAAATTTTAGTGTAATTTGATCTTTTGCTCTGCCAGTATCATTTTTATTGCATTTTACAAAATGCCTAAAGGAAAGTGTTTGAAAGATGCTGAAAAAATACAAATTAATTTATATCGTGGCTCAGAAATCTCACCAGCACTTTCTATACGAGAAATAGCAAGAAAAATTGGAAGATCTGACCATGTTGTACGAAACTACATTGCAAAAGGTGACAAGGTTTGAAATAAGGTTAAAAAAGCAACAACCTTTGCCGTTTATTGCTTTTTTTACGGTGTAAAAAAAGCAACAAACGGCAACAAAGTATTAACAAATCGGCAAATTAATCGAATTCGCTTCGAAGCAACCAAAAATAAATTGAATGCAACACAAATAAAGGATAAATTATTATTGCCTGTCACCAATAATTATGTTGCACATATTCTACGTACAACACCAAACGTAAAGTGGAAGAAACCACACCAAAAACCAATGTTAAAAAAACACCATAAAGTTGCTAGATTACAGTTTGCTAAAAACTGTAATCTAGCAATTTTATGGTGTGACTGATTAGTGGCAAAACGTAATATTTTCAGATGAAAAAAAGTTCAATTTAAATGGTCTGGACTCTTACAGTTGTTATTGGCATGATCTAAAATGAATAAATGACCCACAAACAAAACGAAATTATGGAGGAGGAAGTTTAATGGTTTGGGATGGATTTTCTTATTCAGAAAAATTGACTCTGTGTTGTGGTTTACCTAAAATGAACTCAATAAAGTATACAGAAATGTTGGATGATTTTCTCATAACTTATATGAATGAAAACATGGACAATAATGTCATATTTCAGCAAGATAATGCTGCAATTCACACATCTAGGCATTCTATGAAATGGTTTAAAGACCACAACATCCCGGTTCTCGAATGGCCTGCTTGTAGCCCGGACTTAAATCCAATCAAGAACGTGTGGGGAATGCTAGCAAGAAAAGTTTATGACGCTAAAGCAGCCGGACACCAATTTAAAACTGTTACTGAGTTAAAGTGTAAAATCCTTGAAGCATGGTCCGAGTTGGATCAAACTACACTTCAACAACTAGTGGAGTCAATGAAAGGCAGAATTTTTGAGGTGATCCAGTGTAATGGAGGACATACGCATTACTAATTTTCATCTTTTAATGTCAAAAATATGACTGCGTCTATAAATATATTCCAATTAAAAAATGTACTTTTGTACATCAAACATACTCTCATGTTAATAAAGACACATAGAAAAATTTTTTTGTGATATTTATTAGCCCACAACATAACAATTATTTTGATAATAACTTGCATCATAGTCATAATATACATAGTTCGGCCAGTTTAAGAGCGCTATTGTTTATCTTATTGTTAGCTTTTTTTTAGAACCCAGTCTACCAATGAGTGCACACTTTTTGTAAACAAATGCGAATACTTTCAAGAAGATTATTGATTTATCCTTGATTTTTGCAAATGCCTTGTCTTAATTGTTACATATTTGGTTCTGGAACTTTTCGAAGAAGTATAAATGTTTTTCTATTGGAAATATTTTCTTCCGATGATGATGTTTATAACAAGGAATCAAGAAGAAAAGTTTTAAAAATTATAAATAAAAATAAATCTTTAGTTATAATATATTAAAACTAAAGATAAAATATGATATCAGATAACTTTTTTTTGATCGACAGATTTACTACCTTCAATAAATCAACCAGTTAAGAGCTTTTCATTGGCAAATCCTTAGTAGTTGGCAGAATATAGTAGTTTCCCATACTACTAAAGCTCAACTTAAAGAAACCAACTTTTTCTTCTGAAGCAGATGAAAGTCAATATTTAAATATTTACATTAAAAAAGATCAATGTTTATTACAGTTGTGCCTAACCTTATTTCATTTTTAAAAAGTATCAAAGCTATTTTGTGGCTATTTTAATAGCTAAAATCTTATAAAAACATTGATATTATGACTATGCTTGCATGCATATCTGTTGACAATTCATTGAAAAAAATGAAGATAAAGGAGAAAAAATTGATGCGTCTAAACGAATATGCCTCAGTGTATTATCGAAAAAACTAGAACCCAGATCTTTTGAAGTGCAAAACATTAAAGAAATAAAAATAAACTCGTTCAGATCATAGTCACAA